GAGCGTGTGCCGGGGGCCCCAGCCGCAGTCGGGCGGTTCTGAAGCAGAGCGGCCTCAGGGGTCTGACCTGGGGGTGGGGGAGCCCAGACAGCCAGAGGTTAGACTGCCAGGCAGTTGTGGAGTAGAGCCTGCAGCCACAGCCACAGGTTGAGGCGGAACTGTGACCCGAGGTGTCAGGGCTGCAGTCGGGTCCCTGTGCTGGGGAGTCCTGGCGTTAGGTTGTGGCCAGAAACCAAGTCCATGTGGAGGGGGTGGCGTGACCCAGGCCTCTCAGCTTAGTGCCCTGGGAGGGACAGGCCTGCCCAGCCGGGTCCCCTCTAGCTCTCTACCACGGGAGCTCGGCGAGGGTAGCCACATGGTCCTGACCCTACCCACTCCCCAGGCCCCCGACTGGGTGGATGCCGAGGAATGCCACCGGTGCAGGGTGCAGTTTGGGGTGGTAACTCGCAAGGTGAGTACCTGCCCCGGGTCCCTGGGGCTCTGCTCCACCCCTGGCCCTGCTGTCTTCACAGCCAGGCAGATGCAGGCCTCTGAGTGCCCCATGGCCCTGGTGGCCCAGGGCAGCCCCAGCGGCTAGTCTTCCTCCACCTTCCATCCGCAGGCAGCTGGGCAAGAGTGCAAGGTGCATGGCGGTGCCACCAGCCGAGGGCAGGCCGGCTCCCACTAGTGCCGGGGCCCTCTGAGCCCAGGCTGCTGTCCTAGCCGGGTCACCTGCTGGCTTGCCCTGGCCGGGTAGCCCGTTTCTGCCAGTGACATGGCTTGTCTGGGCTGTGACCCCTTGGGGCTGCCGAGGGTGGGTGTGGGCGTCCCCAGGGCCGAGCACGCCCTGTAGCCACAGCAGCTCTGTCTCTGGGTCCGCGAGGGTGGGTGTGGCGTCCCCAGGGCCGAGCACGCCCTGTAGCCACAGCAGCTCTGTCTCTGGGTCCACGAGGGTGGGCCGTCCTTTCTCACTGCTCACCTTCCTTGCCCCCACGGTGGTTGAGCGGAGCCTCCCGCAGGGTGGTCCCGGGACCCTGTGCCCTCTGCCCTCCCGTGACGGACTGTCTCCCCTCCCAGCACCACTGCCGGGCGTGCGGCCAGATCTTCTGCGGCAAGTGCTCCTCCAAGTACTCTACCATCCCCAAGTTCGGCATCGAGAAGGAGGTGCGCGTGTGCGAGCCCTGCTATGAGCAGCTCAACAAGTGAGTGTACGAGTGTGAGTGTGCCGCCGCGGGGTGGGGGAGGGCGCTCTCCCGGGGCTGCCCCCCACCCGGCCCAGGTGTCGGGCCTGCGCCAGCTGTGGCAGGCCAGGGGCTCGGTCTGCTGGTTTGGCGTTGCAGGCCGTGGGCACCGACTCCCCGGAGACGGGATGTGGTGCGCTCCTCTCTGGGCACCCCAGTTTCTGGCGAGTGCCCCCGTACCCTGCTATGCCCTGGACATCTGTGAGTGGCACGCGCCGTGTCCACGCACTTCGTGTGCACTGCCGAGGAGGAGGGCTGCTCACCTCGCAGTGCAGGGCGGTTGGGCAGCGGTGCAGGGCGGTGCCAGTTCACGCCGCCACCATTGTGCAGACCCTCAGCCCTGCAGGGTGTGTCCAGGCTTGCCCTGCGCTGCTCTGGTCGTCCCTTTGTCTTTGGTGGTCTGGTCGTTTCTGGGATGTCCAAGTCGTGGTAGCTGCCGTGTCCCGACCTGGGCCTGTGTGCAGGTCCCCGGCTCTGGGTCAGGCTCTGCATCTGGCGAGCGCCTCAGGAGTGGTGCCGTGTCCCCTGGGGCATCCCATCTGGAGTCTGTGGTGAGGTGGTGGTGGCCCACAGGCGAGTGCCGGGGCCTGCTCCAGGGCCCCGCAGCAGCGTCCCAGCCTCTGCCACGGGGCTCTCCCTCTGCCCTCTGGGCTCTGAGACAGGTCTGGGTTTTCTCCCAACATGTCTGGGTTGAAAACCAGGGTCAGCAGAGCATGGCCCTCAGAGGCTGTGGGACCCTGCAGTCCCCGGCAGCCTGTGTAGAGCACCAGAGAGCCTGGCCCTGTGACTGCAGAAAGTGCCGCCGCCTCTCTGGTGCCTTCTCGGGTTGGAGCAAAAGCGCTCAGGTCAGCCCTGGGTGCTTCGGGGGGCCTCGCCTGCTCCCTGCCAGCAGGGCACTCAGGGCTCCCTCTCCCGGGCAGGCCAGGGCTCAGACTGCAGCCCAGCCGTTGTCTCCTGGAGGGCCGCTTGGTTGGGCCCCTGCGGCCTGTGGGTTAGAGTCCTGCGGGGATGGTGCGGTCACCTGCAGTGTTCTGGCTTGCCCTCAGGAAAGCGGAGGGAAAGGCAGCCTCCACCGCTGAGCTGCCCCCAGAGTACCTGACCAGCCCTCTGTCGCAGCAGTCCCAGGTAACCAGCCCTCGCACCCTGTGCCACCTCCCCCCGCGGCCCGTCCTCACCCAGCTCCACCTGTCCTCAGCTGCCCCCCAAGAGGGATGAGACAGCCCTGCAGGAAGAGGAGGAGCTGCAGCTGGCCTTGGCACTGTCACAGTCGGAGGCCGAGGAGAAAGAGAGGCTGGTGAGCAGACGGGCCAGTCCTCCATGGGGGCCGGAGTGCCCCTGCAGTGTTGGCTGTGGGGCCAGAGTGGAGGCTCCCCCTCTCACCCTGAGCCATCTGCTCCCTGACGACACCCCGCTGGGTTCTGCTTCAGAGACAGAAGTCCTCCTACACGGGGTACCCCAAGGCAGAGCCTACGCCCGTGGCCTCGTCGGCGCCCCCTGCCAGTGGCCTGTACTCCTCACCCGTGGTGAGTCTGCCCTCCGGCTTGGGCCCTTCCTGTGGACTGGGAGGGCTCCACCCTGTCCTATGGGCAGAGAGCTCACAGTTTAGCAGTCCACTCTCGGCCCTCCTGATAGAGCTTTCCTGGGGACTGTGGCCATGGTCAGGCTGGAGACTGTTTGCTGAAACCTGGTCTCAGCCGGGGCCCCCCCCAGCCCTCCGCCCTCAGCTCCCTGGCCTTCCCCTGCTCTCAGAACTGGTGGGTCGTGGCCTGTCGTGGGGGTGGGCCCAGAACAGGGCTGGCAGACTCCAGGCCCAGAGTCCAGCCAAGCTGCCAGCTGCTGCCCTTCTGGGGCTGTGCCAGCTGTATGAGGCCCAGGGGCTGCTGTCGCTGGCTGGTGCCACCTGTGCCCCAGTCAGCGAAGTCGAAGCCTTAGGGGCATGGCCACCTTGGGCCTTTCCAGGCCCTTAAACCGTGTCACCAAGAGGGAAGGTGCTGGCTCTGGCACCCGGCACGTGAGGGCAGTGCATGCCAGGCTGAGGGCTGTGGCTCCGGCCAGCCTCTCGGATACTCTGCCACGGGTCCCGGCTGAATGACGGTGGGGACGTGGTTGTGGCTTCTCGGCCTGTGATGCCTCAGACCACCCATCTCCCCAGAACTCGTCTGCACCTCTGGCTGAGGACATCGACCCCGAGGTAAGGGCGCTGCGTGTGGGTGCGCCAGCACTGCCTCGTGGCCGCCGCTAACCACCCCCTTGGCTGTGCAGCTCGCTCGGTACCTGAACCGCAACTACTGGGAGAAGAAGCAGGAGGAAGCCCGGAAGAGCCCCACGCCATCTGCACCTGTGCCCCTCTCAGAGTCAGCCGCCCAGCCCGGGGAGGGACTTGCAGCCCCCACCAGCATGGTGGAGGTGAGGGGTCACCACTGCTCTCGACCACAGTCCCTGGGTTGTGGTTCAGGATGGGCTGAGGCCCCACTCGCACTCTGGTCTTTTGCAGACCTCCCTCTCAGAGACGGACCCTCAGCCCGTCCCCCCCACCACTGGCCCCTTCAGCGAGGTAAGCTGCGACTTTTCAGGCCAGGGAGGGAGCTTGACTGCACAGCCACCTGTCCGGAGCCAGGGTCATACCAGAGCAGGGGTGTCTGCTGTACCCGTACAGGCTTCCTATCAGAGCTTGTCCTGGCTGGGCTGTGAGCTAGGGTTCAGGGCCCTCTGGGGATCCCATGTGGACCCCAACATTCCAGAGCAGCCAGCCTGTCCTGAGCCTCCCATGTTTGCTCTGCTCAAAGAGGCAGAGGGACCTGCTACGTGGGGGAGAGGGCTTTGACCCTGCTTCCTCCCGACCCGTACCACGCCCGTGGGCAGGGACCCAACCCCTGGGCACCTCGTTTCCTCGGAACATGGGCATGCCCACTACAGCGCCCGCCCCTTGGAGCTGTGTGAGGGCCGTGCCAGTTGTCCCCTCCAGGTCTGAGCAGGGCGCAGGGCCCTGGGCCCCACCTGGCCCTTTGCAGGTGGGCTGCTGCGCCTGTCGGGTGTTCCTGCTCAGGGCCCCACCTGCCCACAGCAACAGTACCAGAATGGGGAGCCGGAGGAGAGCCACGAGCAGTTCCTGAAGGCGCTGCAGAACGCGGTCACCACCTTCGTCAACCGCATGAAGAGCAACCATCTGCGTGGCCGCAGCATCACCAACGACTCGGCCGTGCTCTCGCTCTTCCAGTCCATCGACGGCATGCACCCGCGGCTTCTGGAGCTGCTCAACCAGCTGGATGAGCGCAGGCGTGGGTGCCCGTGCGCGGCGGGTGCGGGCCGGTCGGGACGGCTGGGCACAGAGCGGCGGGGCTCTGCCTGTCCTCATGCTCTCTACCGCCTGCCTACAGTGTACTATGAGGGGCTACAGGACAAGCTGGCGCAGATCCGTGACGCCCGGGGGGCCCTGAGTGCACTGCGCGAAGAGCACCGGGAGAAGCTCCGCCGGGCGGCCGAGGAGGCTGAGCGCCAGCGCCAGATCCAGCTGGCCCAGAAGTTGGAAATCATGCGGCAGAAGAAGCAGGTGCAGACCGGGCCGGGCGCAGGGTGTGGGGCGGTGGGCACAGCTGCTGACATTGCTGTCACACAGGAGTACCTGGAGGTGCAGCGGCAGCTGGCCATCCAGCGCCTGCAGGAGCAGGAGAAGGAGCGGCAGATGCGCCTGGAGCAGCAGAAGCAGACCGTGCAGATGCGTGCCCAGATGCCCGCCTTCCCCCTGCCCTACGCCCAGGCATGCGCCTGCCCGCACACCCCACCCTCTGCTCTGTGCCCGGGTGTGCTGCCTATGCACTCTGCCCGGTGTCCCGGTTAGGCCCGGCTCTCACAGCTGTGTTTCTCTCCAGCTGCAGGCCGTGCCCGCTGCCGGGGGCGTGCTGTACCAGCCATCTGGCCCAAGCACCTTCCCAGGCACCTTCAGCCCTGCAGGCTCTGTGGAGGGCTCCCCCATGCATGGCGTGTACATGAGCCCGCCGGCCCCAGCTGCTGCCAGCCCCTACCCCAGCATGCCCGGCACCACCGCAGGTAACGTGGGACCCCCGCCTTTTATCTCCTCTTGGGTTCATTTCTGCCCGACTCAGAAAGGTCATGAGAAGATCCACAGCCCTCGTGTTCCCCAGACGCGAGCACACACCCAATGGGGGTTCTCCCCGCCTGATACTGCGTACTTGGCACGGTCTCCTTCCTGTCAGACTACCCAAGAGGGCCAGCGGGCCTCGCCTATGCCAGGGTTTGCCGTGGCTGTGTCCACAAGGCCCTGCCTACCACCAGCTTGCTCTCCGCTCCATGACCGTCTGGGTGCACTGTGGTTGGAACTGGAACAGCATGGGTGGGGCTGCATCCCGCAGAGGTGTGGACTGTGCACATCAGGTGGGAGGCGCTCTTGTCCCCTTGTCCCATCGCTGGCCGAGAGGCTGAGCCCTGCCGGGCGCCTGCTGTCTGTCAAGCTGCGTCTTGTCCTTTGCAGTCAGCAAGTGTCCTCAGGGAGAGGCTTTGGGTAGCAGGTGCCCTGGGCCGTCCTACGGTTTGCCCGCCTACTGCGTCCAAGCCACGTCTGCCTCAGTCCATCACTGCTCCACTGATGCACACGTGGCCTAGCTGTGGCCCTGGCCCTCACAGCCGGCTTCCTGTCTGACACCCGCCTGCCGTCTCTCTTTGTTGCTTTAACTCGGTCCAGTTGGAACTTCTGTGTCCCTTTCATCTCCCTGCTCTGGGTCTGCTATTCCCAAGAGTCTTGGTTCTTTTCTATTTTTATTTATTTATTTTGAGAGGATTTTTTAATTAATCATTTATTTATTCATTTATTTTAATTTGATCAGAGAAAGTGGGAAAGTAAGCCACTGTGTCCAGGACTCGAAGCGTGGTCAGCCATGTGGGAGTGTCCAGCATGCTTTAACTACCATGCCGCCTGCTGGTTTCCCTTTTTATTTAAAGAAAAAAAATTTTGTTTTGTTTTGTTTTGTTTTGTTTAGAAAGGTTTTTGCTGTTGGGCACGTGCAGTCAACAGAAAGAGACAGACAGAAAGCGAGAAATCACCCCCTGGGGGGATGGCCACGCCGCAATCCCTTCTCATGGCATCTTGGATATGCACGCACATGCGACCAGCATGAGTTAAGCCACCAGGTCTGGGACTCTAACCACAGTTGACTGCATGGTAGTCCAGCGACTGTCCATTATACCAACTGCTGGTCCTGAAGGAAAAATGTTTTGAGAGCTTTTTCTTTTTATAGGGTGCATGTGCTTCCTGGGGAGAGACAGAAAGAAAGAGAAACCACTTGCTAGGAGGGGTGGCCACAGAGCAGTCCCACCTCTCTCCTCTCTGGACCTCGGGCCTGCACGTGTGCACGTGTGCCCTGTGAGTCTCAAGCTGCCGGGTGAACCACGGTCCACCACGCGGAAGTCCAGGGCCTTAACCACAGCACCGCCTGCTGGGCCTCCCTTTTATGTTTTTTTTTTTTTTTCAGGGCAAAGATTTTTGCTATAAGGTGTGTGTGCTCATCAGAGACAGAAAGCAAGAAGTCACCCCCAGGAGGAGAGAGAAGGGGCTGGCCACGCCACAGTCCCTTCTCTCTCCTGGGACCTTGGGCATGCACACACACACACGTGCCTGGTGTGAGTTTGAAGCCACCAGGTCTGGAATTCAAAGCAGGGTCAGCTTCATGGGAGTCCAGTTACATAACTGCTATGCCATCTGCTGCCTCCTATTTAAAAAATCTCAATTGCTAGATGGTGCATGTGCTTCTCAGAGAGCACCCCCAGAAGATGTGGTCACACCGCAGTGTCCTGTTTGCTGGTTCTGCCGGTGACTTGCAGTGTGTACTCACCTAAGGCCCAGCCTCGTTCTCAAACTGCTAGGGCCAGGATTCGAACCACACAGCCAACTGCCAGACCTACTCTGGTCCCGTGGGGAGATCATGCTTGAGCCTGAGAACTGGGCTGTTTCTGGCTCCTAGTCCCCGTCAGCAGGTGTGGCCAGCCGGCTCGCACATGTGCTGAGTCTGGTGCCCACCCCAGCATCTCGCCTGTGTGTCAGTTCTCCCTCCTGTGCCCTTCCTCAGGCCACCGGACCTGTCACTGGCAGTATGTGCACCTCTGCTCTTTTTTGTTGTTGTTGCTGAGGTTTTTGCTATGGGGCATGTGCACTCGCCAGAGAGACAGAAAATGAGAAATCACCCCCCAGGGGGGATGGCCACGCCACAATCCCTTCTCCATTCTCCTCTGGGATCTTGGGCACACACGCACACGCGCCCAGAGTGAGTTTAAGCTGCCGGATCCAGGACCGGAACCAGGGATGACTACATGGGAGTCCAGCGACATAGCCCTTACACTAACTGCTGGTTCCTACACCTCTGCTTTCTGGGATGACCCCAACAGGGCTGTCAGGGGTGCTGTCCCAGCAGCCCCTCAGAAGACCGAGTGCAGGTCCCAGGTGTAGAAGCTGTGGGCTCAGCATGGCCCACCCCTCACTGTGATCCGCCTTCACCTGGGTCTCCCTTCCTGACTTCATTCTGTGGGAGGGCTCCTTCCCGGTCTTGGCTCGTGTATTGTCATTTTTGTCCCCTGAGACTAAATGCAACCTTGATTCTGAAAGCCACACCCACCAGTACTTGGAGGCCCTCCTCTCCACCCACGAGGCCCTTGGGCAAAGGGTCTTACCTGTCTCCTCTGTCACAGATCCCAGCATGGTGAGCGCCTACATGTACCCCTCGGGGGCCACCGGGCCACAGACCACCCCCCAGGCCCAGGCCGGGCCCACTGCCAGCCCTGCCTACTCGTCCTACCAGCCCACTCCCACACCAGGCTACCAGGTATGCCAGGCCTCCAGGCGAGCAGCCCCCTGTGTGGGCCCACCAGCCTTGCCCCCATTGCACCCCTCTTTCTGTAGAACGTGGCGTCCCAGCCCCCACAGAGCCTCCCGGCCATGTCCCAGCCTCCACAGTCAGGCACCATGGGCTTCGTGGGGAGCCAGGCAGTCTCCATGGGCTACCAGCCTTACAACATGCAGGTGAGGAAGGCGCCAGGCCTGTGGGGGTACACAGGCCAGGGAGGAGCCAGGCTGGCGCTGCTGGGTGCATGGGCCACCTCTTTTTCTGGTGTCCGCTGGCATTTTTCCAAGCCAGAAAGAGCCCTGTCCAGGCACAGGGTGGCTTCCTGGCTGTCTGCTTCATTCCCGCAGAACCTCCTGACTGCCCTCCCCAGCCAGGACGCAGCCCTGCCGCCCCAGCAGCCCTACCTCGCGGGACAGCAGCCCATGTACCAGCAGGTGAGCCTGTGTGTGGGGACTGTCCTGGTGTTCTTTGGGGAAGACCAGTTTACGCCTGGGCGCGGGACATGGACACCTTAAAGGCAGAGCCGGGTCCACGCGTGGCCAGCAAGGCAGCGCACATGCGCTGGGCACTTGGCCGCCCTGCTGGGGTCGGCTGTTCCAGACTAGCCCCCTAGTGGGTGTGGAGGCCTAGGGAGGACCCCCCAGCCGCTTGCTTCTCCCACGCAGATGGCGCCCTCCGGCGGCCCTGCCCAGCCACAGCCCGTGGTGGCGCAGCCGTCACCCGCACAGGGACCCCCAGCGCCGGGCAGCGAAGCCCAGCTCATCTCCTTCGACTGAGGCAGGCAGGAGCTGGCAGCCCACAGTGACACTACGACCCCTGGCTCGCCGCCCCGTCCCCTGTGCCCTCGCCTCCGCCTCCTGCCCGGCCTTCTCTGTGGCCCGCCTTCTTTCCCCAGGGCTGGCCTCGGGGAGGGAGGGGGTAGGACATCCTCCGGGCGAAGGTGGCTGGAGGGGCAGCCCCGCGCAGGCGTGGCCTGCACAGTGGAGGGCGCGCCTGCATCTCCAGCTTCTCCGCTTCCGATCTCTCCTCTCCAGTGACCCAGAAGGAACTGCTACAATAAAATAATTTCAAAGTGTCAGGAGTGCGTGCTCGGGGATGGCGGGAGTGGGCGGCTCCGCGTTTCACCGTGTGCCGCGGTGGGTGCTCGGCTCAGGCGGCACGGGGTGGGGGTGCGGGCCATGCCCGCAGGCAGGCCTGGAGAGGGGTGGCGGGGGGCGCGTCTCCGGACGGCGGGGTT